CTTTGTCCACTGAGTTCCTCATACGTGTTTAGAACAACTATAAGATTCTCACACTCCTATAAAGAGCCTCGGAGGAACAAATAAGAATTATCCGCAAAGAAGAGATGCAAGATTTGGCGAACCCTCGGAGCAACCTTTACTCCTTCCAGTTTACCCACCGTGATAGCCTGTCGCAGAAGAGCCGCAAAGCCTTCCGTGCAGAGCACAAATAGCAATAGGGACAAAGGGTCACCCTGCCTAAGACCACCAGACGAAGTGAAGAACCCAACGGGGTGCCATTCATTAGCACCGAGAAAGATGCTGACCTGAGGCATTCCTGAACCCAACCACACCAGACTGAGTTAAACCCTAACTTTCGTAAAATTGCAAGCAGAAACGGCCATTCAACTCTGTCATAGTCCTTTTCCATGTCAACCTTTAGAGCCATGTACCCTTTCTTCCCTTGCGTTTTGATTTTAAGATAGTGCATTAACTCGTGATCGAGCAAAATGTACTCCGCTATCTTACGTTCGCGGATAAAAGCATTTTGACCCTCTGAAATGATTTGGGGCAAAAAAGAGCAAGCCTGTCATCCATAATTTTAGTAATGATCTTATGTACAAATTGGCAGAGACTGATAGGTCGGAGTTGAGTCATGAGCTCCACATTGTCCACTTTAGGGATCAGAGTGAGCCAGGTATGATTGAAGCTAGGAAGCAACTTGCTCGTATTAAAGAAATCCTGAACCGCCTCAATCACCAAGGTACCTACTATATCCCAATAGGACTTAAAAAAATTTCCCAGTAAACCCATCAAATCCAGGGGCCTGTTTAGTTCCCATAGAGAACACTATTTTACGAATTTCCTCAGGAAGGACCTCCGTCGTAAGGTACTCATTCATTTTTGTAGACACCTTACGATCGATTGGAAGATCAGCAATCCTCTCATCCATGTTATGAACCAGATTCTCTGAAGTAAAGAGGTGTTGATAAAAATTCACTGCTATATCCGCCTTCCCTCACTCCACCGTAATCCATTCGCCCTCCTCATTGTGAAGACCCGAAACAAAGTTATGCTTCCGACGAGCTCGGGTGACCGTATGGAAGTAGGAAGAATTCTTATCCCCTATCTAGAGCCAACGAACTCTGGATTTCTGTTGCCAATAAGCTTCCTCTGCTTCCCATTGGCGGCCCAGCTCTGTTTCCAACACCCTCACCTCCTCCCAGTCAATCGGGTGACAGAGCTTCACCCTATCGATTTCAGTTTGCAGAGTTTTAATATTCTTGAGAGAATTCGTAGTCCCTGCTCTACTCCAATCATAAAGCAAATTGCAGAGCTTCTTCAATTTCCATAATTGGAACATAGGGGTACCGTGAATCTCCTCCGGCCACACATAAGCCACCATAGCCTTGACTTCTGGATTCTCTTCCCAACGAGCATCGAATCGGAAGAGAGGACGACTATGCTTGACATATTGTTGGTCTTACAAGTAACAATTGGTAAAAGAAAGAGACATGCTTCTTGTATCCTAGTTTATTGGGTTTGATTTTTATCGTTTTACGTCAGGGCTTCAGTCATTGTATTGACTTTCCTAATATCCTTTTATTCGTTTATCCGAAAGATCTTATGATAAAAACAACTTAACATCGTTTCCCGAGAAGAGTATCCTTATTGAGTTGTGATAATCATTTACGTGTGTTTGGTATAAATGGATTTCATAAGTTTTGAGGAATTCATTTTGAAATGAAATCTTTTTGTGTTTGGTATTTAAAAGAATTCATTTGCAATTCTAAATTTTGAATTCTACGGAATTGGAACTAGTTATAGCAATTCCGAGGAATTGAGATGGAATTTGCAAATGAATTCCACAAGTATTTACTAATTATAATAGAATGACATTATTATCCTCATTTATTAACCAAATTACTTCTACATATATTATTTGGATCTCACCAGGGGGAAAAATATTATTTGGAGCCAATTGATGCAGTATGAGAAACGTCACCAAGAATTTGATTGCAACGTTAGCAGCATATGCTAGTTATTTTATATTTTTGCTTTGATTGTATCAGTACTTTGAGAAGGCTCAACTAGATTGTAGGGGTCATCCATGAAATATTAGAAAAGAACTAATTAATAGAATAGAAACACACAAGAACACTTTTGATATTCTAAGTATGGGACCAATTAGAAGATGAATTTTCAATGAATATTGTTTTTTCCAAAAATTAATAAGGGTGTAGTTGGAGAAACTTTTAATTTAATTCAATTCTAAACATATACCAAACATGGTTTGGGAATTCAATTCATTTATTTCTAAAGATTGAATATGATTACCAAACACAGGAATTCATTTGACAATGAATTCTATGCAGTAATTCATTTTAAAATGAAATGATTTCTCAATTCATTTGGTACCAAATGGTCTGTTACAACCAAAGAATGAAATAGATAGTCGCGCGATGTTAGTGATGAACCGTTACCCACGATTCAAGGGTTTTGCTTGTAACTCACAAGCGAGAGAAAGACGTTGGTGTCTATAAACCTTTGATTTATTTTATTGATACGGAACTAATGCCAAAGTTACATATTTATAGGCTTAGAAAAGCCTAATACTTAACCTAATCCTACCCCAATTAGGCTACCCCTTCCCAAACACAAAAGGAAAACTTGACCCAAAAGGAAAAACACCCTAGCCCAAACCGAAACTACCCAAAGCCCAAAACATGGAAAATACCCTCATCAATCCTTCCCCCTCAAAGAACCTTGGTCCCCAAGGTTCCTTCTAATGCCGAGACGCGGTGGTCGACGGCAAAAACAACAGCAACTCTTGCGGCGACGTTGAGGCTCCCGTCGCTTCCGAAACTTCCAACTTGCACTTTGGCCTCTAATCTTCTTCTTTGTAGTGGCTAGTACTATCAGCTTCATAGCTTGATCATTGGCGGCCAAAACAATTGAGTTCCCTCCCTTGCGTGACCTGGTCCATGAAAATAGAAGGGAGAGCCTCCCATAGTGATCATCATCTTTTCCCCATAGCCTCGTATTCCTTGCGTGCCAATTTGGATGGACAAGCACATGCTGCCACAAAACAATTACCGGTTCATTCAATTCCACATGTTCCACCCGCATACGGCTTGTTGCCGGCAGCCTGCCTAAGGAACCCGTATCGCTCCCGTTACCAGCAGCTGTTTTTTCTTCTCCATGTCTAGCTCCAACAAGGAACTCCTTCTTGCAGCTTTCAGATCAAAGGATGATAGCCTCACATAGGTGGTAATCATCCGTGCACACTGCTTTCTTCCCGACGAACTCTTGAATGGAGATCTGGATATCCTCCACCGCCCTAGGGTCATTGGCGTCAATGCGGGCCCCATCGTCGTCGTTGCGTTCTCCTCCGGAAACGATTGCGCGGTTGACGTTCAACTCCCGTTCTTGGCAGAATGCCATGAACCTTTCACGCGACTTTGCTAGTTGCGCACAAGCGACTTTGGTTTGCTCGAGTGCCATCTTTGCGTTCCGCGCTAGGGCATGGTACGGGGCTAGGTCAAGAACCATGTTACCTTTCCCAGTAGGATGCGTAACCAGACTCTGATACCAATTGATGAACCGTACCCCACGATTCAAGGGTTTTGCTTGTAACTCACAAGCGAGAGAAAGACGTTGGTGTCTATAAACCTTTGATTTATTTTATTGATACGGAACTAATGCCAAAGTTACATATTTATAGGCTTAGAAAAGCCTAATACTTAACCTAATCCTACCCCAATTAGGCTACCCCTTCCCAAACACAAAAGGAAAACTTGACCCAAAAGGAAAAACACCCTAGCCCAAACCGAAACTACCCAAAGCCCAAAACATGGAAAATACCCTCATCATGTTGATAAATGCAAAAGTATTTGTACAAAAAATTGCACTAAATATACAATATTTTTACGTCGGCTAAATGTTATTCTTAATTTGGCTATGTTATTCTTAATATCGTTTACAGAATATAGATAAGGACGTGAGTAATAAAATTGAGAAATTGAAAGAGGCAAATAATTGTGGTAGGAAAATATGCTCGATTTGAAACCTCGACTTCTATATGGCCATGATGTCTCAACTTCAGCACCTAATTGGAAGAAAAATTATTAAGGGAAAAGAACTTGATAAGTGATTGCCTCTAGATCCACCTTGCTCATCTCGTTGAGTCTAGGTCCAACTGGATTTTTAGTGTGCAATGAAACTCCTTCATTCGAAGGACGACGACCATCGTCATACAACTGTGATTTGGTGGTTCAAAGAGTTTCGCTTCCTAAATTGCAAAGTCTCGATTAATTAGATCTAATGGGAGGGTAATAAGTGTTGTGACCTTTTAGCTTATTGAGGGCATAGTTTACCTTTGGTATTCATGATGTTGTTGAGATTGATCTTGTTTTTGTCCATTAATTTATGTATAACGCTCAACAAATTTTTGATTCCCAATTGATTTTGAATGAAAACAAAAAAAAAGATATACTTTTTTTGTATTCTCTCGAACCCTAATTTTCTGTCACCATAAAAAGTCTCTTTCTCTCGTCGACTGATATTGCAATATTTATCTGGTTGATCTTGGTAATACCATGAGCTTATGACAAAAACAAAGATATTGCTGTCTTTATGTTTCCCAAATTTTAGCGACTAAGTAATGCTTATTTCGTGATTTCTTTTCCATGTTTTCAAAGCTTTCCTTGATAGCATGATTGTCTTTTGTAGTTTTGTTACTGTTGCACAAAGAAGAAAGAGATAAAAAGCAACTGAAAAAAGGAAATTGCCGCATTGTATTTTACTATACTACCCATCATCCTTCCGTTCCTGCACATTTGCAGACAAGGGTGAAAGGCGTCATTTTCTGTGGGAACCCGAGGAATATCGGAAATCCAAAAGAGTGATACTTTTGTATTGTTGTTGTAAAAAGACGACGACGGGCTCGAGACAGGGCACCCTGATTTCACATATGAGTCGCGACTGAATCTCCGCTAGTAGAAGGTAACTGGAGTTCAACCATGGAGCCAAAGTTGGTATTCGCAGTTCTTCTGCTCATTTCCGTAGCTGTGTCGGCCGAATATGTGAGGCCTCCACCGCGCAAAACCCTTGATTTTCCGTGGAGTGAGAAGCCGTCTTCCCATCCGCAGCAGGTAAATAAATAGACATTCAAGCTTACTGTTGTTGATACTGCTTTCTGGGTTTGTTTGATATCTGGGTGTTTGCTGAAATGCCACTGTTGCACTGTTTCGTTTACGGTTTTGGTCTGATGCGGTGTCTGTTTCCTGAAGTCAAGTTCAATTTTGATCTAAGCATTTGAGAGAGGATTTTGGGTTGGAATCAAGAAAATATCATGCATGACAGTAGTGAAAATTGCAGTTTGGTCTTTAGAGGTTGATGCAATTAAAGATCTGCTGCTTGAATTGGCTATATTTCAGCTTTTCCTTCAAGTTCGTGTTAGGAAATCATTGGTTCCTCTGTTACTTCATAGGCTTCATCTGGTTGCACAACTGTGTGATACTTGATGCAGGTGCACATCTCTTTGGCTGGCGAAAACCGCATGCGAATCTCGTGGGTCACGGATGATAAATCTGCTCATTCAACCGTGGAGTATGGAACTTCACCTGGGAAATACAGTGCCAAGTCTCATGGAGAGAGCACGTCCTATAAGTATCTGTTTTACAGTTCAGGAAAGATTCATCATACTGTCATTGGTCCACTTGAGCCCAACACGGTGTACTTCTACCGGTGTGGTGGACAAGGTGTCGAGTACCAGTTGAAGACCCCTCCTGATCAGTTCCCAATTACATTTGCTGTGGCTGGTGATTTGGGGCAGACTGGCTGGACTGAATCGACCTTGGACCATATTGACCAATGCAAGTATGATGTGCATCTACTTCCTGGAGATCTGTCCTATGCTGATTACATGCAGCACCGTTGGGATACTTTTGGGGAACTGGTCGAGCCATTAGCCAGTTCAAGGCCGTGGATGGTGACACAAGGGAACCATGAAAAGGAAAGCATACCACTTTTGGTGGATGGTTTTGCATCCTATAACTCCAGATGGAAGATGCCATATGAAGAGAGTGAATCGAGTTCAAATCTTTACTATTCTTTCGAAGTTGCCGGTGCTCATATTGTTATGCTTGGTTCGTATGCTGATTATGACGAGTACTCAGATCAATATCATTGGCTGAAGGTTAGTGTTCTTGTACACATGCCATAATTCAATGCTAAGTTATGGCAATCCAAGTTGGGAAAGACTATTTCTTGCACACCAGTCAGTTATCTACCACTGGTGTTCCTTTGCCTTCATACTTAGTACTGTTTAGTGGGTTACGGAATATTCCACCTATTCCTGGGTAGATCATCTATCATCTTTTTTTGTGTTTAGAAGGTAAGAAAAGTATCAAAGCCGTCAAAACAGGGGATAGTGGAAGGAGAAGGACTAATTCTACTTTCGGGGAGAACCAGTCTTGAAAGTTTCAGTTATTCTTGGGTAGAACGCATGTCACCTATCTTCTTGTGCTTAGGGAGTACTAAAACTCCATACCAGTAGTAGGCAAAAGGGTGGACATGTGAAGGTGGGACATTAATTTTTGTGGTTACCATGTTTGTGTTTCAAACTGCTTCATTTACTTGTAAGTTCCATACAGAAGCTGAAATTTTGTTCTCTTCTGGACATGCCATGGCAGTTGAAAATGTGTATTTCCTTAATAATATCAAATATATATTTTGTTATTATAATTGTCGTTTCAATCATCTGCTCCTGTAGGCTGATCTTGCAAAGGTTGATCGGGCAAAGACACCCTGGCTCCTTGTGCTGTTGCATGTGCCTTGGTATAATAGTAATAAGGCTCATCAAGGTGAAGGAGATGACATGAAGGCAGCTATGGAGCCTTTACTCTATGATGCTAAAGTGGATCTGGTGCTCGCTGGCCATGTGCATGCCTATGAGCGCTCGGTATGATGCTGAAATTTCTCGTCTCTTTGTATGAGGTAGAAGTCTTTTCTTAATGCATGGTTATTTGACTTGCAGAAACGGGTACATGATGGAAATTCCGACCCCTGTGGTCCTGTCTATATAACCATTGGAGATGGAGGGAACAAAGAAGGTTTAGCTTCAAAGTACGTCTTCGCTTCTAGCTACCTCTTTGCTCCATTTACTCTTCCAGAATCTAAACACTGTTAATTTCACATACATCTATCGATGCTGAAGCTAGTGGCATTCCTCCTTGTGTTTGAAGTGAAAGCTTGCTTGTTTATCTAGCACTAGTTGAAGGACGTGGCTATTATTTATTTCTCCAATTCATTCTTTTCTATTGGTAAACTGAAGGGTCGTTGCCATCTATTATTAACAGGTACATAGACCCACAGCCAAAATGGTCAGCTTTCCGTGAAGCAAGTTTTGGCCATGGTGAGATCCAAATTGTAAACTCTACTCACGCATTCTGGAGTTGGCACAGGAACGATGATGATGAACCTGTTAGATCAGATTCCATATGGATAAACTCTTTGGTGAGCTCAGGGTGCCTTGCTGAACAAAAGTTTGGGGCGAGGAAGAGCCTCCTGTAACCTGATGGTGTGAATCTTCTATATCAGTTTGCTTAAGTTTGAATACTGTTATAATTCTGATGCTAGAGTGGTGAATGTAAATATGTCCGAATCAAGTGTTTCTGTATCGAGCAGGTCTATGGACCGCCATCTCTATTTGTCAATGGATATATAGCTTATTTTTCAAATAGCGAATATAAAGCTGATCTTGTAGGAATTTCGTATCAAGCTAATACACAAATGGATGGAATCACAGGCCATAAAACTGCCTTTGATTAACGCAAATGCCCTGAATTGTTGGATCAACAACCAGATCAGCAAATGGCAGTAACTTCAGTCCATCAATTACTTGAAATGGGTGCAGATCACTGACTAAGAAACCAGAAGTATTGTATTTCAATGTCAACAATCTGAAGGCTCTGCTAAAACGGTTGAAGAGTCATGTCCCTGTTCCTTGTCAATCGTTCCCCTCCAGAGTATAATCTGTTCATCCTTGACTAAGGGGTCGTTTGCTTCTAGAATTTTAGAAAATGAGGGATTATGATAAAACCTTGGATTTTGAATATGAGAGATTATTTTGGATTTTGATTATGTTGGATTTTGAAACTTCCATGTTTGTTTGTAGGATTTGGTAATGGCTTTTAGTAGGTTGGAATTATGGCTTGATGGGGGAAAGTACTTTCTTATCCTTAATGAACCACTTTTTACTTTACTTGTATTTTGAATGTTTTTGTATATACGTGAAGAATTAGCATATGTAAAAATGGCAGCAACATCCATACTATTTGGTCATATTGTATACACGCAAGAAGCCATTAAAGTAAATTGAAACTCTCAACCCAAACCAATAATGTTGAAAGGAAAATCAAGGGTTTGGATTGGATTATAAAAAAAAGGATGTAAGCATGAAATAATTAATTGTTGAGCTTCATATAAAAGGAAGACAAAACGACGATAGGCAGAGATGGAAAAGGTTGCCGGAGCTTTTTGCTGTGTTGCAATCCCTTGGCAACGAAGAGACAAAGTTGGTGAGATGAGAGTGTAGACAAAAGTCCTCAGTAGAGATAATAATAACCGAGGGCAAAAATGGATTACACAAAATGAGTGGGGGTAACACGGTCATTAAACATCATGGATTATATCTATCTTCCAAAATCCTAGCTATAGAGGTAAGATTTTATAATCCATGGGGCCCACGGATTTTAGCTCCAAATAATCCAATATTAGTGGACCCCACAGATTGAAACAAAATCCATTATATGCTAACAAACATGGATTCATTATAAAGTCCAACATATGTTGGATTTTGGGCCAATCCAACACCAAAATACCAAAAGCAAACGACCTCTAAAATGGGCAAACAAGGTACCAAGTCCTGCATCACAAGACATAGGAAGAAACACCCTCAGTAAGAGGCAACGAGTTACTCATAAAACTCATTCAAGCAATGCTGTCATAAGCTCGTCTCGTGAAAGAAGAAGAACCAGCCTTACCCTAAGCTTCACACCAATCCTTTTGCAGTCACTCTCACCCACATGAGTGCAATCAAGTCTCACAACGTCTTCTGTCCCAAATGCCTCCCTAACCCTATCTACTACATTCACGTACACACCATTCCTGGCTGCAAACATAAACCGAATCAATCAGACATCATCATGAAACAGAGACAGGAAGCACGCAAGCAGATCACTCACTCAGCTTCATCAGTGGATAGGAATTTAGGCCTCTGTTCTTCATTTCTTTGGTTTGTTCAAACGTTAGTCCATCTGCAGCATTCTTGATGAGCCTTGGATACATCAAGGGAACAACAGGGCGGCTCTTGGGGTCATAGTTTCTGTTAGAAACCGGCCTTTTGGGTTTCTCTTATCGTTAATTAGTAGAATAATTATAATTATGGTTGTAGAGATTTGGTCGACTTAAGATTATTATTAGATTTTTCCTATCTTTTAATCTGAGTTTCATTTTGAATTAAGCAAAGATTAATCAAAGAACTATCTCCCTATATCCTAATCTCTTCTCTCTCAAAGGCTAAAGCCGTTCTTCCTCAAATGCCTAATTTCTTCTCCTAAATCTCTAATTTCTATTCTCAACCCCTAAATCACTTTCTATCTATCCGGTTACGTCAGTCCTTAGAAATCAAAATAAGTGGGTTTCTAACAGTGGTATCAGAGCCCGATTACGATATGAGTTTATCGGGACTCTCATGAGACAAATGGTACGAAGCTGCCCGGAAACGAGATGCAGAGATGAAACAACTGTTAGAACAATTGGCGTCGTTCGATTCGGACGATGTTGATGACTGGTGGGAAGACGACGCAGTGGTAGCAGACGAGATAGAAGTCGTTGATGAGGAATCTAATTCGGCGGAGGTTTCGCCTCCATTCATGGTGCCATCACCACTGCTCGAGACAACCGATACGGTCGTGACTACCGTCGCTATCCAAGTCGCTGCAGGCTTGCTCAAGGAGGAGCAGAATGAGACTGCCGAGATCGCAATCAGACCGGTGGCTAAGGAAGAAATCGACCCTGTGGGTTCGGTTACTGTCCGCGTCAAGGAGAGGGCAGTGGCCTCGGGAGAAAAATCTGAAGCAGAAGAGGCGGAGGAAAAATCAACGCCTAATTGCGTTGTGGATTGGCCATTCAGGAAGCAAAAGCTGCGATCCAGCAAGAAAGGACAGGTGAGAAAACTCTAAACCTAGCAGAAGAGCGGCTAGGGTTTCAAGGAAGAAGTAGGTGAAACGAGGATCAAGCCATTGTCGGAATTGGCATCTTGCCCTTTCCTCTGTGGGATTTCCATTATATACAGCAAAGAAGGTAAAGTTGCTTATCTGTACATCAACGGCTAAGTAACAGTAAATAAACTTAAACTAACCTATAGCTACTTGACAGGTGGCTAACGTTGTAACTAATTACCATTTCCTATCAATGCTTGCAACGGCGTCGTCTTCCTGTGGAGTTGGATACCACTTAGGCAAACGACACCGTGGAGGTCTTCGCTGGATACTGAGCTGAGTGAAGGGAAGCTCAACTCAGTTCTTCGTTTTGTCCATCTGCAGAGTCTTCTGCTCATTCATCAATACTCAAGCTCCAGCTCTGCAGCAGCTCTTTCATCAACCAATCATCGATCTGGTTCACACCCCCCCCCCCCCCCCCCCCCCCCCCCGGCGGCAAGCTTGCAGGCATACATCATGGACAGCAAGCTTTGACAGGAGATATGTGAATCGATCAACAGACAAACCTTTTGTGAAGATGTCTGCAAGTTGCTCATCAGTATGAACATGGTGCAAACTGATGAGTCCACCTTTCAGTCTTTCACGAACAACATGGCAATCAATCTCAATATGTTTTGTTCGTTCGTGAAAGACTGGATTTTCAACTATATGAATAGCTGATTTGTTGTCACAGAAAACTTGAATTGGTGAAGGATGATTAATCCCATAGAATGTAAGTAGTGATTTGATCCATTGAACTTCACATGAAAGCTGAGCCAATGCCCTGTATTCTGCCTCTGAAGAAGATCTAGAAACTGTTTTCTGCTTTTTACTTTTCCATGTAATCAGGGAATCTCCTAAGTAAGTGCAGTACCCAGTTACTGACTTCCTTGTATCAGGACATGTAGCCCAGTCTGAATCACAGTACCCCTTAAGTTTCAATGTAGAATCAGCAGAAAACCACAGTCCTTGACTCGGATTTCCTTTTAAATACCTGAGGATTCTGTGCAATCCTTTCAGATGCACAGTGGTTGGCTTGTCCTGAAACTAACACAGCTATTGAATTGGGAAGGTTATGTCTGGTCTGGTGGTAGTTAAGTACTGCAGTTGTCCTAGAAGGTGTCTAAAATGAGAACCATCTGCCAATGGTCTTCCATCTGAAGCTGATACCACAATCTTCATACTTTAGGGAGTCTTAGCAGGCTTGCTTTCCAGAAAATCAGTGTTTCCCAACAACTCCAAACAAAACTTCCTTTGGTTCAGTGAAATTCCTTCTGATGATCTTGCCACTTCCAATCCCAGGAAGTACTTCATGTTACCAAGATCCTTGATCTTAAAACCTTCCTTTAACTGGGACTTAACCTTCTGTATGTCTTCTAAATTAGGTCTAGCCAACAACAGATCATCTACATAAACCACCACCACAACTGTAGAAGATCTAAACACAGAATAATCATCATATGACTGCTGAAAACCCAAACTCTTCAGAAAATCAGACAGCTTAATGAACCACTGTCGACTGGCCTGTTTTAATCCATAAATGGACTTTTTAAGCTTAAGAACCTTTCCTTGCATGTGACTTAGATGCCTAAGTCCCTCAGGAACTTCCATGTACACCTCCTCCTCTAAGTCACCATGCAAGAAAGCATTACTGACATCCATTTGGTGGATGTGCCATAACTTAGCTGCTGTAACAGCTAGTAACAACTTGACAGAGTTCATTTTGGCAACTGGGGAAAAGTGTCTAGGAAATCCACACCATAAGTCTGTGTAAAGCCCTTGGCTACTAACCTTGCCCTTCTTTTGTCAATGTCACCCTCAGGGAGGAACTTAGTCTTGAAAATTCATTTGGTGCCTACAACTTTCTTACCTGGTGGCAAATCAACCACATCCCAGGTCTGATTTGCCTCCATAGCACCTAGTTCAGTTTGGACAGCATCATCCCACCATTTGTCTTTAACAGCTTGAGAGTAGTAAATGGGATCAGGACTGAGAGAGATAGATAGGGTATAATGTTTGTGAGCTGGTGGGAGAGAAGAATAATTGAGGTGGTGGGAAAGGGGATATAAAACCTGAGCATCATGCTGGCCAAAAGTGCCAGTTGTGAGAAATGCAGTGTGAAAATCTTGAAGGTAGGCAGGTTGTTGTGGTACTCTCCTTGGTCTCCTCTTTTCTAAAGGTAAGGAAGTTGGAGTGGGAGAAGAAGAAGAAGAAGAAGAAGAAGAAGAAGAAGGAGAGCTGGTTGGTGAAGTAGAAGAGGGAGAGTGGTGTGGAACAGTTTGAGGTGCCATAGGGGAATCAGGGAATTCTGAGTCAGGACTCTCAGAATCAGAAGGGGAATAATCAGAATCAGCTGTTTGATGTCCATAGTCATCAGTAGATGAGTAAGGTTCAGAAGGAAAAGTGGCAGAAATGGGAGTGGTAGGTGATGAAGAAAGGGAAATACTACTCTCAGTTTGCTGAAATGGGAAGGAAGTTTCAGAGAACTCCACATCTCTGCTGATGAAAACATCATGAGTCTCCACATCATACAGTTTAAAACCCTTAATGCCAAATGCATAGCCAATGAAAATACACTTTCTTGCTCTGGAAGCAAACTTCCTTTTGTGTTCATCCAAAACTGTGGCATAAGCCAAACAACCAAACACCCTTAATGAACTGTAGTATGGTGGAATTCCATATAAACATTCAAATGGTGTTTTGTTATCAAGGGTTGGAGTTGGGATTCTGTTGATCAAGTAAGCTGAATGAAGAACCAGATGGCTCCAGAAACTGGTAGAGACTCCTGACTGAAACTTCAAGCCCCTAGCTACATTCAACAAGTGTTGATGTTTGCGTTCTACTCTACCATTCTGCTGAGTTGTTCTTACACAGCTCATTTCATGTATAATCCCATTCGACTGATAAAAGGAAGGCATGTTGAATTCCTGTCCTTGGTCTGATCTAATGACCTTAATGCTTTTGTTGAACTGGTTTTTAACCAAAGCATGAAAGGATAGCAACAACTCACGAGCTTCAGATTTGTTGCTCATTAGAAATAACCAAGTACACCTACTAAAGTCATCAACCACAGTTAAAAAGTATCTGTAACCATCATGAGAGACCACATCAACTGGCCCCCATATGTCAACATGGACCATATCAAATGGTTCCTTAGCTACAGAACTACTTCTACTGAAAGGTAACCTTTTCTGTTTTGACATATGAAAAACATCACAATCCTTGGAAATAGGTAAAACTACTTCATTACAATGCTTGCTAATCTCTCTCAATCTTGGAAGGGACAGATGTCCTAGTCTGGCATGCCAAAGGTCAGCTTTGTGGTTGGTGTTCACTCCAAAAACAGGATGGTTTGAAATCTCTCCAGGTGCTGATGTCTCTCCAAGCAAATACAGGCCTCTATCTACGAGGATTGAACCAATCTTTTGATGAGATATGAGGTCCTGTATGCAACAAAAATTAGATTCAAACAACAATGAGACAGGGCTGTTTTTGGTCAATTGGCTAATGGAAATGAGGTTGTAACTAAAGGAGGGAACTAGCAGAACATTAGTGAGGAACAAACCACATTGCAGTTTCACTATGCCTATGTGGGTCACTACTGCTTCCTGTCCTGTTGGAAGAGTCACAGACAGGTTTTGAACTTCCTTACATCTAAGGAAGGACTCAATAGAGCATACTATATGGTCACTGGCCCCAGTATCCAGTACCCAAACTGCCTCTCATTTTGTTTGTTTAAAAACAGATAGTACTGTCATACCTGTCATTGAAGTGTTCCTGGTAGTGACGGAATTAGCCATTGATGAGGGAGATGGAGGTTGTGAGCCCTGCAACAAAGCTTTGAGACGGTTCAGCTCTTCATTGGTGAATCCTGAGAACTTGTTAGGACTCTCAGGGTGGCTGCTTGGACTTTCAGAGCTTCCCATAGCTGTTTTCTCTGATGTTGCAGTGTCCACCGATCCAGCAAAACTTCTACCTCCTCCTCCTCCTTCACGGTTTTTCTTCTTAAGTTTCCAGCAATCTTGGATAACATGATTATCCTTCTTACAGTATCTGCAGAACAGAACTCCACTCTCTTGTTGATCCTCCCTAGGACCCTTGTCTTTAGACTGTCCATGTTGGGGTCGAGATACAGCTAGAGCAATAGTTTCTTCATTCTTGCCTGTGTTACTATTAGCTCCATTCAACTGTCTTTCAAGTTGTGACACTGATCTGTAAACACTGTCAAGATCTGGCAAGGGCTCAATCATTAACATCTGAGACTTAACCTGTTGATATTTCTCATTCAATCCCAACAGAAATTTCATCACTCTGCCCCTGTCACGATACATGATCACTGTCTCATAGGTTTTTGAAGCACAATCACAGTATGGGATAGGTAGATAGCTACTCTGTTCATCCCATAACAGTTTCAGATCAGTGTAATATTGTCTGATGGTCTTGTTTCCTTATTTCATCAGATCTATCTTATCAGTCAGATTTGCAATCCTCACGTTATCTCCTTGGCTAAACTTTGACTTAAGATAAGTCCATGCTTCAGATGCCACTGTAATATTACGCAGGCTAGGCACAATATATTCAGAAACAGAGTTGCGAATCCAACATACCACTGTTCCATTAACACGATCCCAAGTTCCATACATAGGATCAGTAAGAGCGGGTACCTGAATCGTTCCCAGGACAAATCCCAGTTTGTTCTTGGTCCGCAGCGCAACTTCCATGGACTCACTCCACAGAAGGTAGTTGTCATCGTTGGGCTTGAATCCGATGACTGGTAGGAAAGAGTTATCACTCTGAGCAAGGTAAAATGGGTTGCTGTAAGGATCTTCATAACGGGTTTTAGGGGTTTCGACATTTCCGCTATCAGATCTAGAACTATCGTCCTTCGTCGACATGGTGGGTAAGATTGGTTAAGTTTGTAAAGATGTAGTAAGTATCAAAGTTGAGAAATGGTGTTGAAAGGAGAAGATGAAAGGGTATGCAGAAGCCAACCAGGCTCTGATACCATGAGAAAACTCTAAACCTAGCAGAAGAGCGGCTAGGGTTTCAAGGAAGAAGTAGGTGAACGAGGATCAAGCCATTGTGGGAATTGACATCTTGCCCTTTCCTCTGTGGGATTTCCATTATATACAGCAAAGAAGGTAAAGTTGCTTATCTGTACATCAACGGCTAAGTAACAGTAAATAAACTTAAACTAACCTATAGCTACTTGACAGGTGGCTAACGTTGTGACTAATTACAATTTCCTATCAATGCTTGCAACGACGTCGTCTTCCTGTGGAGTTGGATACCACTTAGGCAAACGACGCCGTGGAGGTCTTCGCTGGATACTGAGCTGAGTGAAGGGAAGCTCAACTCAGTTCTTCGTTTTGTCCATCTGCAGAGTCTTCTGCTCATTCATCAATACTTAAGCTCCAGCTCTGCAGCAACTCTTTCATCAACCAATCATCGATCTGGTTAACAACAGGTCCGGGCAAAATTGGTTTTGGGACATTGGGTGGAACAATATATGTTCCCAATCCATTGTGCTATTTCCTGGAAATTCAGAAAGAGGAAACATAGGAGAGGAGATTGCAGGAATGCCGAGAAACAGAGGAATCGGAAAGGGTCGATAGCTGCGAAGGGCGGAGGAAAAGAGACGTCGGGGCAGCGTCAAATAGAGTCGTTTGCTGAAGACGACGTCACCACGAGAGGAACTCTGCACCCTCTTTCCGCCGCAAAAGTCTATGCGAGGGTGGCGGAGTCTCACGTCGACATAGACCGGCAAGGAAGAGCAGGGGCAACGCCGAGCAAACTGGTTGTAGCATCTTACGTGACGATGGGTTCGAAGAAGAAGATGGCGACCAGTCGAGAATCCTGGCCGGAGTCAGGAACTGCGCGGGAGGCGCCACTACCGCCGGCGACTCCATTGATGGCGAAGTCGGTGTGGAGGGAAGAGCTGGAGACGACATGCGACGACGCCGGGGCTGGAAGCAGATGTCAAGGCGTCCGAACCGCCTTCCGCACTCCGTTGGGTCGCTCGACGTCGGAGTAGAAGTCGTCAAAGAAGACGATGCCGGAGAAAGTGGAGACAACGGAAGCTCCGATCGTGAGGTTGGTGGTGACCCCGGTGGTGACCGACGAGGAGGAGAAGCCGCCGAGGGAGGAGAGGATGGAGGGCGGCGGGTTTCGTTCTTCTGCAACCCTAGGCCGCCGAAGTTTGGAGTGGGCTGGGCTCTCGATGGGCCGACATGGTGGGTTGTACTTGTCGGTGTGCCAAGATGGTTAGGTTGCAAGTCATGACAGACCAAAGCTTTGGTTGGAAAACATCGTGCTCATTTCGTATAGGTCCGAGGAAGCACTTGAAGACGGGCCGGGTCGCCAGGATATGTTCTCTGAATCAGAGAGTGGGCCGATGCGAGTTGGGCCATGGGTTGCTGGCTGGGTGCACAAAAAAGAATAGGGCAGCTGGTTTCAAATGAAATATGGGCCGAATTTTCAAGATGAATTTGAGCCATTAGTGAGCTGTCTTATTGGGTTATTTTACAGGAACAAAACTTGAAGGAAGATGGGGTTCCAAGGAAGTTTAGCCCAAATTCAGTTAGAGAAGAATGAAGCGACAAAGTGCCGAATATTGATTTGGGCTACAACTCAATTATTTCTATCTTACAAAGTCCTCATTCATGAACCGGATTGATACATCAATTCAAATAGTAGTCGATAAGAAAACAATTAGGTGAAAATGAAAGATTTAATTAGGGATCCAATTATGCCGAAATCTACTATAAGAAAACAAACAAATGTCATTGCAAACATGTAAAAATTAAAAGAACATCGACATAGACAACATAAAGACCACCACCACTTACTTTCTTATTAGTGACCCTTATAAAAACTCCACATATGTTTCCATCTACTTATAAGTTATAACCCCTGCTACATGCTATTTACTAACCATATCATCACCATAAAGCTAGCTAGTAGCATGTCACTCATGAACACAATAAACATAAAAGCATCCTATGATGGAGGATGGTAAGATGACAACACTCACAACTATGTTTTCCATTTCAGCATTCAAGGAATAAGGCTGCTATAGGCCTCCAAGAATAAATTATTCAACCCAAGGAGAGATGCTCTAAATCCAAGCAACTAAGCTTTCCAATTATCTATTACTTATTTGCATAAAAGTATACACATGATAGAAAATCATAATACAAACTACCTGAAATTAAGAAGGAATAAATCAGTAGAATTGAGTCGGAAATTTACAACCCTGCCACCATAATATAAAAGTAATTAAGAAAACAATGGGAAGAAGAGTACAACTCGGCCAGTCAACTACATTCATCCAAAGATGTATGTGGGAAGAGAGACCAGTCACCAACTGCGAATCAAGAGGAAAGAGGAAGAAGTCATCAAACTATGGCTTGATTCTCTTTGTCTTCGCAATGATATGATGAACGTTTTTCATCAATAGAAAAAATATGTTACAACTGCTCAATTGTTTCTTATCTAATTGTTGCCTCTTGTAACTCTTGCTTTCTATTCTCTCACAATGAAAAAACTCCATATCGCTTACCACTTCCTTCCATGTGTATATCTATGCATAGAATAGTATACAAGAGAAATGTTAGAAATCTCAAAATTTTGAGTAAATGTTAGAAAACTCCATATCACTATTAGCAATTTTAGTATACTTATCAATTCTTGACAATCACATTATTAATAATTTTGGATAAACTATTACCGATTTATATTTCCATCATCAACGCTTATGAATAAATTATTAAAAATACCACATCATTATTAATGATTTAAGTATCATTATCATTGATTTAGAGCATATTTATTAACGATTCTCATTTCCACATCATGTTCATAGCTAGTCAATCATGGCCTCGTACAATGACTTCTAATGACATTATTAACGTTTTGCGAGAAATTGATATCACTTTACATTATTGTTCTTTAGTGTCTAGGCAGAACAATCTCCAATAATCCAACTCACTCTAGCTATCTTCATTATTCTCATATGTTCTTAGCTGCTGGATTGTACTGGTGTCTAGGTGGAAGTGAAACAATCTTAGGTGACGTGTTCTTAGTTCTCGATATTCCTGCAACATATAAAAAAGGTAGAATCACAACAAAAAGATGTTGACAACCATAACATAAACCATTAATAACATATATGTGTTCTATTGAACATGCATTCAAAATAATTGATATATTTTAGACCTATTGATGATTAACCATAGAAGAGATCATTAATAACCACCTTATAAAACATTGATAACGTTGATAATTCCATTGAACAAAGTTACAAACATAACCTAAAATTGTTAATAATGAAATGATTTGTTTATAATTGTTGTCTAGTGGCTGGGTAAAAACATTGACAATAGAGCTGTAAAAGATTACAAAGCGTTAATATGTAAACTGATAATAAACTTTATTAGTAAAAATTCTAATACAAAAGATTACCCATGAAACGACTCAAAACCCTACCCATGCAACAAAATTAAAAGTGCAGTCCAATAACATTCATAATCGGAAAACTCTTGCGGGAGCAGACGGCGGAACAGAAGCTAGGCTTTGAATTTGGTGGAGAACGACGGCGGAGAACGCTTGAGGGAGCAGATGGCGAAATGGAAGCTGGGCTTTGGATTTGGTGGAGAACGACGGCTGAGAACGCTTGCGGGACAGACGGCGCAGAACGCTTGCGGGTGCAGAAGGGCCGGCCGGAGAAGGAAGCGGAAGGGACGGCCGAAGAAGGTGTTTTGAGAGAGTGTTGACAGAGAAACGGTTCGGTTGATAGGGAGGGATAAAAAGACTTCGTCTTCACTAGGGTTACGTTTGTAATTATAATTCCCTACATACCCCTAGGCCCTAACAACTAATTAACTAATAACTCCTCACTAACTACCTAAAATTGAATCAGCCAATCACAATGCTTTAAGATTCTCCTTAAAAAAGAGGGTTTAAGGACCTGAACTTAGGCCTGAATACAACTACCTAAAACGAAGATTAAATACATTTGTAGAATCAAGTAGGGCAATTTACAACCCTGCCCCCACAATATGAAAGTACTTAAAAATGGAAAGAATATTGGAACTCGGCTAATTGCTGCCTCTTGTAACTCCAGCAATGAAAAAAACTCCACATGTCGTACCATTTTCATTCCACGTATCTATGCATAAAATAGTAGAGAAGAAAAGAGAATTGCTAGAAATCTAAAAAAAATTAGCAAATAAGAAGATAACTTTGTTTGTTTTTAGGGCTTGACCCAATTTTTTTCTTTTATTCTTTCCAATTTTGGATTTTATTTTTAGAAAGATCATCTATACAGGTAAATGAATAGACACAAACCAAAAGATTGCATTAATTAGAATTAACTTAATTCACGTGTTAATGATAATAATGACGATTTAAAGTGTAAGCAAAAAAAAATACACAATTTATAATTAAAACTTATCCACCATAGAAAAATGAGAGCTACCCATATGCTTATGTGGCAAAAATTTAGTTTTGAATTCCTATAATAGTAAGTAAGGATAAGGATAGCGGGAGAAATTAGACTTTGAGAGTAATATGGTTCAAGGTAAACTAGCTTAGGGGGTGTTCAAATGGTTACCGTGGTAATAACCAAATCAATTAAACCTAAATTTCATTAACCATGGAATAAAATGTCTTAACCAAACCGTGCAAATTAACACGAAAACCAAATTAATCAAACCAAAGTTTAATTGATTTGGTTAATTGGATAATCAGATTAACCAAATAATTAACATAACATTACATGAAAATAGTTATCTTGTTAATGAATAAAACATAACCATATGTTATTATTATCATAAACTATCATTATATAGAGCACTACTACTATGCTATATAGTATTGGTGCTTTAATGTACAACTTGAAGTTGTATCATAACATTAAATGTATAAGTTTAGGTTGTACCATAAAGGAATTTGTATCATTATGTTATGGTACAACTTTACAACTTGAAGTTGTACCATCACATAAATGTACAAGTTTAAATTGTACCATAAAAGAATTTGTACAAAAAAAGTATAGGTACAATCTGAAGTTGTACCATAATGTTAAAGGTACAATTTCAAGTTGTATCATAAAGACAAAAACCTATAGCACCAATACTATATAGCATTGTAAAATTCCTCCATTATATATAAGCAATAATAATAAGACTAACCATCCATGATTATCATCATCATTCGAGTTAATACATCATTCATCATCTCTGCACTTAATATAGTTAGCTTACAACAAACCCTTAACATAAATATTAAATACATACCAATACCACTCATCAGGAAGTTAAAGCTCCCCTACAAAACACTTAAACTATACATAGTTTGAGGTGGCTGTTATGGTATTTTACGTAATCCTAAAGTCTAGTAGCTGTCCAAAATGTTTTGGTTTAGTAAATAGACAACCTATTTAATTTTTGACCCATAATACTTTGGTTTGTTATGCACATGAAAATAAAATAGGGAATCACGAAAGTTTGGTTTGGTTGGTTGCATGGAAGTATAAATAATTTTGTATATTAGGTGTATCATTATTTGGTTAATTGGTTTCATTGGTTAGCAGTGTTGAAACCAAACCAAACCACCTAAACCAAACAATCTAAATTGTTTAACCAAACCAAACCAATTATTCAAATTAACCAAACCAAATTAACCAAATTCTACCGGTTAATATGGTTACCACAGTAACCAATCCGTTTGAACACCCCTAGCCACAATGAGCACATTTAACTTTGAGGTTCTTAGAAAAGCTCTTTCATTTCACCCCAACATGCATCTTGTCAATTAAAATCAGTTTATTATTTATGACTCATGGATTTCTCCTAGCTTTATCAATATGAGATTTGTCTAGCGTGTTATATACACCCCCACTTTTGGACTCAACGTCCTCGTTGAGATTTGCCTCACCATCATTAAAGAAGGGGACGAAGAGGCTCATATACCACTTGTAACATCCGGAACTTTTCCCGAAAGAACTTGTTCGTTTTTGGCATAAACCTTCACGGAATATTCCTATGGTGCATATCAATGTAACTTCCCGTAAAGATCATCAATCCCGACAATACTTCACAATGAATATGTTTAACTTGCCTAAGATGTTGGGCAAACTTTATAGGCTGAACCTTTGGATGTGTATGGACTATGGAGTTCAAAAAACTCTTTGACATACACATCACAACAATCAAAAATCAAGAATCAACTACCGAAGTTTCGGCAGACAAGGGTGAGGAGGCTCTACCCAGTTTCTCAGCTTTGAATCGTCTCTGCTCAGCAACCATTGAACTGAAAACCTCCAACAGCCCATCCAATCGCTCTTCAGGCTCCTCCCCTGCCGCTTTCAGTGCATAAACGATGCTCTCAATGGTCGACAGACACCCAGACTTAGGCTGTCGCCTGACATCAGAAAACAAGCTCGACTTCCCCAAATCCAACTTCAGATGCGGCAGAAGCTTCAGCCATGGGTTCTCTTTGTACACTTTCTTGGCCTTGGACCACGTCCCATCCAAAACAATCAGATTCTTCACTTCAAAATTGTTCATCCCACCTCTCAGCTCATCCACGCTCACCACCGATTCATCACTCGGATACAGAAGCACCGACCCTGCAGGAACCTTCAGTTCGAACTCTAGGTACTCTTCCACATTCCCCTCGCTGCCATAGAGCTTCTTCCGCTTGTTAAACTTCCTAACCATTAACCCTTCTCTCATTGCAACTTCAGCGGCTGGTGAAGCCACAATCTCATGGAAGCTCGTTACTTTCTCCCCCATCCATTGACAATCCATGAACTTCCCGCCCTTCCCTATACTCATAGACATGGAAGAACTCGACCCATTGAAATCGAAACCCTCGACTACTTTCCGGTGCCTCCCCGATACTACCCAATTAAGATCCGAGCTTCCCCTGTTCTCGACCGGCTCCAGACCCGAACCCGGGATCGAGATGACGAACCGGGCGTCGAATTGGACGTCGTAAACAGTGAGCACATCGACATTTTTAAGTCCTATCTTGGCGATTCTTGCGGAATTAATAGGGTGCTTCGTCTCTAAGCTGTGCTGGAGAATGGTGACGCTCACCTTGTTCTCGAAGCTCGGGTACCGCAGCTTTGCGCAGAGGCAGAGGAGGATGGGCCGGGTGCAGGAAGGGCAAGTGGGTCGCTTCGAATTGGACGATCCGGTCACCGCCATTTTTAGGGTTTCCGGAGGACGGCGCCACCAGCTCTGCGAATGGAAGGCAGGACGAAGAGGAGAGCAGCGGAGAATCGTGACGTGGTGTGGAGCCCATGGCGGGTTTCGGGTCGGTATTCGGATCCGTATAAGAACCCGCTCGGCCATCGGTTTCCTTTCCCCGAGTGTTGGGGAATTAATCGGCCTATATAGCCTCAGAGCTACCTCTCATGAAAACGGCGGCGTTTCAGTGGTCAGATTTAGGGCATGTTTGGAGGTTGAGATTCTCCAAATAGATGTATTTGTTCAATTTGTGTATTATCATTTGATGTATTGATTCAATGCATGTATTAGAAAAATACTTTGTTTGGAGGGGTAATCATGAAACAAAAAGTAGGGTAGACAAACCCTTATTAACAATCTCACCTTTTGGTAGAGATTTAAAATCATTCATTTTGAGTGAATATAGGTGGGCCCAACAAAAAGGTAATACATGCATTCTAACTTGATATGAAACAAAAAAACGACTTAATCTTATCATTACATGTATTTGCTAAATACCTCACTTCAAATCTCAACCTCCAAACAACCCCTTACAACCTGTTTGAATGACAAAAAGATGGAGTATTTTTTGAGGGACAAAAAGATGGAGTATTTGTATGAGTTATTTGGACGCAAATAACTCGTTTGGCAGCGTTTTACTGAAATGAGTTATTTGAACAGTGAGTTATTTATAAATAAGTCAAAACGAATTATTTGAAATAACTTATACTCATGTGTTATTTCGAAATAACTCGTTTTATCACTCTGCTTTTACCAAATACCACATGTCAAATACCACATTTGCATGGTTCAACCAAACGAGATACTTTATTTCAATTACCACTGAAATAACACTGAAATACCACATAAACAATAAATAAGTTATTTGACTCTACAAATACCACATTGACAATTAACCCATCCAAACGACCCCTGCAGGAATTTCAAATTCTATGTTTGATTCTATTTCATTATTCTATGTTTGGAATGGTAAGAAGATTGGGAAATGAACTCTATTTGACCCAAATATTGAAAATTAAAATTCCTATCAAAAGTGATAGGAATTGGGTTTATGAAGATAAAATTAGTGGGATCCATTCATATTTATTATTATTTTATAACTCCACTATCTTATTCCTCTTTTTCTCCCACATTAGTATTTCATTTCTCAAGGTTAAAAAAAATCTACTAAACCATTAATGATCGTTAAAGAGTACAATTCATCTCATCATTTCCATAATTATTGGAATTATCATAATTATTGGAATTATGCCAAACACAAATATTGAAAAAGAAATTTCATAAAAGTTAGAATTGGGAATGAAAAGGGTAGTTTCAAACACAGGCCGTTATCCGTAAGGGTAGTTTCGGAAATTCATAAGCGGGGCAGTTGACCTGAACTCCTGAAGGAATTCCCACGCGCCACCACCGTGGCAGTTAATAACAGCTCGCTTCTGTTTTTGTTGACATTTCCACAATTTGAACAGAGCGAATAAAAGTGGCGATTTCTTCTTCTTCCTCCTTGATCTGGATGCGAGGTTAGACTTTGAATTTTGAGGAGTCTGAAAGAGAAAGAGAAGGAGAAGGAGCGAGAGGAGAAAGGGATAATAAGAAAGGAGGAAAATGCACGATTTCTGCTTCACGATCCCGTACGGGCTGATTCTGGTGGCAGGGGGAGTGATGGGGTATCTGAAGAAAGGGAGCTTGTCGTCGTTGGGCGGCGGTGCGGGGACTGGTTTTCTACTTATCTTAGCTGGGTATTTGAGTTTGAAAGCTTTCGAGAAGAGAAAGAACAATTACTTCGCTTTAGCCATGGAAACAGGTTCGTGCTTCTGTTCTGTCTCTACTTTTACCTTTTCCCCGTTTGCTTCACTTGGTTTTCATGGTTAGCTTGGATTTTGTTCTGCTTTCCCTTTTGTTAGATCCTCGTTATGTTTTGATTTGAGTGAGGTTCTGGGTTTTTTGTAAAAGGGTATCAAAGAGAAATTCTTTGGTTCTTCTGATGTCTGCTTTTGATCTTCTTGGTTGTGAAGATCTCAGGTGTGTTCATTTTGGTCAATTGTTCAGTAAATTTGCTTACATTTGATCCCATGTTGTGGATGAGATTTTCCGCTCTTTGTGGCCACTTATCTTGCTTTCACACATCTGCAAGATAGATCAGCTGCCTCGTCTATGTTTTCGAACTTGGCACTGTTTCGGGCTTCGTTGCTCAATGATTAACTGGTCTAGACATTATCAGTTTTCCCCCGTGTGTGCTCGTGTTAGTACTTAGTAGTTAGTCTCTCTTGTCTATTGGTGTAGTAAATCAAACTTTTCCAGTATGATCATATGATGTACACCTGCAGCTTATTATGTTAGAGAATCGGTATAAATCCGTGGTTGTTCTTGTTCTCTGTGTTGTTGATAGTATTGACTATTAAGGAAACGAATGTACACACTGATCAATTTGGTTTGGACCAATACAGTATGTGCTGCTGCTCTGACATTTATCATGGGGCAACGTTACTTGCAAACCTCAAAGATCATGCCTGCTGGTCTCCTTGCTGGTATCAGGTATGGCAAATCCTTCAGGGTTGCAATTTTGGTGTTGCAATTTATGTTTACATCTTCAAATGTTCGCGACATCCTTTGATGGCATCTGTCAGTGTGGTGTTAACTGGACAATGAAATACATAACTACTTCCTGATTTCTTCTCCAAGTTATCCAGGAACTGTTAATAGTGTGAGTGTAGAAGGTAATCTATAGTCGTCGCTGCACACTGCACAGGATGCCTTGGCAATCTCCTTGTTTAGAATATTCACAGGATACCTTATCAATCCCCATGTTTAGGATATGCACTGGATAAGATCAGGATAAAAGAGGCAGCAGAAATAAAGAGAGGTTTGCAAACCTATTGAAAGATCATCAATTTGTTTATAGTCTGGTTATGGCATCATTGTGGAGTTTCTAAGGCAGTTGACATCCCTAGCTGCCATTGATTATCTCTGTAAAATGAGATTTTAGGAGTCTAGCAGGGACGAGTTAATGTATCTTAATTCGTCCAGTTAGATGCTTTAGTTTTCCCAAAGTGCTTAGTCTGTCCTATATAGTTGAGTACCGGGACCATATTGGTGACTAACCCGTTTAAATCTTGTAGCCTCACACTAACACTCTTATGTTTGCTTCCCCCTTTGCAGTTGTCTCATGACTGCATTTTATCTATACAAAGTTGCAACAGGTGGCAACCACATTCCGAGCAAGGCCGAGTAATGGCACAGTGTGACATGCTACAACACTAACCTCAAAATACATACCGAGATTTATGAATTTGGCGATAGCTCTGTATTGGAAACGCCCTGAATTTCGTCTGACACATCTGTAGCAGTATTATTCTACATTATCTTTTTATAACCATACTTTGAAACCTTCCAAGGTTTGGTTTGCTTTGCTTTGCTTTTGTAGAGTACAGTGGTTTGTGATAGAAACCTATTCTCCACGGGTTTCTATTATAACTACAATATCCATATTAGAGATAATTGTTAGAATAGATAATTACTTGGTTGATAAGTTTAGGGGTATTATTAGGTTTTCAGCTCTTTTACTATATAAATGTACTTTGCTATTCGGTTAGAATCAAGAAGAAGAATATTAAGAAAAGCCTTCCAAACCCTAATCTCCCTATCCTCTCAATTCTCGTTCTCAAACCCTCTAAAGGTCTAGGCCGATTCTCTATCTTCTTCCCCGAATTCTCTTCTAAATCCCTAATTCCTATCAATTCCCAATTTCCCAACCCAATCAATAGAACCCTAGAAATAGGTTTCTATCATCTGGTATCAGAGCCAGAATGAACTCATCCAAGTTCTTCGATTCAGAATGGATTCGTCTCAGCCAACGGTTGCAGCAGTCTCTTGACCGCTACGAACGGGAAGCACGGGAGAGGGCGGCGGCCGAGGGCGAGGCGATGGCGATGGTGGCGAGCACCGCCGCAAGCGAAGCGGGACAGAGGCGGTCAGCGGGGCTGCCCGAGCAGACTGAGGATGACGGCGTGACGATGGTGGAAGGCGCTGAGGTCAATGGCGCATCTGAATCGTTGCAGTCGTCGGAGCAGACTGAGGAAACAGACAGTGGTACTGACGAAGAAGAAGGTCGTGCCTCTGTCCGAGCCGCGGACGAGTCGCAGCCGCTGGAGCGAACCAAGGCGTCCAAAGATGGTGAAGGGCGGGAGGAGATCCACGCATTTTCGTCGACGGTGGAGAGCGAGGTTTCGGGCTGCGACGAGACGAAAGAGCTGAGGCCGCGGGGCCAGGCTATCGTTTCCAATCGAAATGCATCGGCCCTTTCTATCGAGACGGATGTAATCGTCACCACCATCAAACTCGCCGCTGCCGGTTCCACGGAGGAGTGGTGCAAGGCCGCCAACACCATGGGAGCTGCTGAGGTCGACGAAGAAGAAAGAGATCGTGATGCTCCTACCGCGATCCCCAACAAGAGGAGGGCCATCAGACATGGAGTAGAAACCCTAGCTGAAAGTCCGGAGAAAAGATCGACGCAAAGTCGCGTTACGAACTGGCGGTATCGGAAGAAGACAAACGATGCAAACCAGTGTCGGCCATCATCATCGGTCGAGCGGGATCAACCGGCGATGAGAGCTGTAGCAGCAAGGAAGTTGCCGTCCAACGTTCCACCGTGGCCGCCGCCATCACTAGAAGAACTCTCCGTCACAGTCACGCCTTCACCGTCAACGATTACGAGAGGAGACCCGCCAGTGTTGGGCTTGTTGTGCGTGGGGAGCATATGGGAGAAGCTCGTACGTGGGGAGACTTCGGGGGAACCTCCTGGATCTGGGATTGTTATATTTCCATGGAGGCATAGGAGAGGAATTATCACTAATAGTGTGGAAACTGAAAAGGCCATCCTCTGTTTTTTTCCTGCTATTAACAGAGTATCATCAAGCAACAAGGAAGTACACATTGACTGGGAAAGGGAAATGGCCAAGTATGGCCGAATCACATGGAGTGAGAAAGAGCCGATTATCAATGCAGTAGACACCTCGAATGAAGCACCATACTCGCCATCGACCGTGACGATCAAGATTCACACTACCAGAAGCTCTGGAGTTCATTCGATGATGGGGGATCTCCACTCTGACACCGACAGGCGAGAGGGAGAGCCGGTGACAAACCACAGGCTTGACCTATTGGAGTTTCGAGTCGAGTCCGAGGAACCAAGGTTGTCGGCGGCTCCAGCTGTGCGAATGGCGGAAGCTCCGGTCACGTCGCAGGCCGACAATGAGGCGAATCCGAAGATTAAGATGGAGGAGGTGATTAAGGAAGTTAGATCAATGGAAGGGATGAAGCAGGAAGGGAAGCCCGCAAGTCAACGAAGTATTGCATGCATTCTATGGGTGCGACAAGGTATCTTTAGTTCTCAATTGCACATTCTAGAGTTGGCTTTGCAAACGGGTGCTCTGGTGATGGGCTGTCTTGACAAGCTGATTTTTCGTTTTGGGAATGATGCCTTGCCTTGGTATGGAGTAGACGAGAGGGAGGGTAAGTCAGGTAGGTGGGTTGAAGGACATATCATGGAGAAAAGAACTCCACGTACTGGGAACAAACTTCTCCTTCACGTGTTGCCTAGTATGGATCGGCTGTGGAGACTTGAGGAATTGAGCATAAATTGTCATGGCATAATCAAGTTACCACTGTTTATTATAAGCTTAGGTGAAGATGAAGAAGAGGATAGTGGGCACATGCATGGAAATGAGAGGTGGTGTTGTTCCATCAAAGTACAGGGTGTATGGATATTGGAGGCGGTCGTGAATGGGATACAGAGTGGAGAAAGAAGAGTTTGTGGAGAGTTGTGGCTTGTTTTTATCTCCATTTGTGTGGCTGATATGATAGCATCTTCCATCAAAGATGATAGGCGTCACGTGGTCAGAAAAGAATCAGGAGAGATTGGAACTGTTGGAGGAGGATCGATGAAAGTTGAAGCTGTTAATGTTGAATTTGCTGTGAGCTTCAACGAAATTGGAAAAAGGGGAAAAAAATGGAAGAAGCGCAAGAAATGGAGGAATCATTGTGCAGGTGGCACGAGGAAAGCAGAGAAGTGGATCCAGTTGGTCAACCTTGAGGGCAAGGTTGGTTTCAAGGGAGAGGGGATGATAGAAACCTATTCTCCACGGGTTTCTATTATAACTACAATATCCATATTAGAGATAATTGTTAGAATAGATAATTACTTGGTTGATAAGTTTAGGGGTATTATTAGGTTTTCAGCTCTTTTCCTATATAAATGTACTTTGCTATTCGGTTAGAATCAAGAAGAAGAATATTAAGAAAAGCCTTCCAAACCCTAATCTCCCTATCCTCTCAATTCTCGTTCTCAAACCCTCTAAAGGTCTAGGCCGATTCTCTATCTTCTTCCCCGAATTCTCTTCTAAATCCCTAATTCCTATCAATTCCCAATTTCCCAACCCAATCGATAGAACCCTAGAAATAGGTTTCTATCAGTTTGGTACTTGATGTTGTGTTGTGTCACATATAATTCAACTTCAAATGACAAAAATGGACCTCATGGTTTCCCTCTAACGAAACGAACTGATTCAATCCTTCAACCATGTGTTCATCCTAATCTAAGCCGTGAACTTTAGTCTTTATACATTGCCTTTCACTGTTGACAAGAGTCTAAGCCACCATCGCCATAAAGACTTAGTCTCCCTGCGTGTTTAACCTTTCTATCCCTATGAACTAAACTTCTTTTGTTGTCTACAGTCGGTAACCCCTAGAATGCTTGTCATGGTTCAATTGATTGTTTTGTTCCCGTTAAATGAAACAAGTCCACCACTTGATAACAAATTCGCCATTGTCGTTTCTTTCCAAAGAATCACTTGGATGGATCAGCACCAGATGCTTAGAATAGAAGAAGAGAAAGATTCTCACTTCTCAATGAAATTGTTCCCTGTCACCAGGGAAAAAACATGACGACAGAAGAGACCACCAATCATTCTCTGTTTCATCAACCAAAGCCGGCCAAGTTTCTGGTGGGGATCACAAAGACACTATATTCAACCAATACTCGTAGCTTCCATACTCCAATCGCCATTTGCTGCACCTTACTTTCCCAACCTATTGCTCTCAATACATTTTTTAATCTTCAACGCTATCACGTTGTAATTATGTTGCGTATTTTTACCCGCCGGTGCATATTGTAGTTGACGATTAATACAAATCCAGCCGGCAGTCGGCCTCCACAGAGCGCAAACTAATATAATCCTCCCTTCAGTTCAGGCGGCACCTCATTTCGTAACACAACCCAGAAGCCAGAAAATGGAGTCGACCCTTTTCGCCACCATTTTGATCTGCGTTTTTACTACATTAATCCTTGTGATTGTCAAGCTAAGGAAAAATGAGTACAAGCCCGGGAAAAAACTTCCACTCCCGCCAGGGTCGCTGGGAATACCAGTGATAGGGCAGAGCCTGCAACTCCTGTGGGCGATGAGATCAAACACAGGGGAGAAATGGCTGGAACAGAGGATTCGCAAGTACGGCCCAGTCTCGAAACTGAGCCTGTTCGGGAACCCCACCGTGTTCATCCACGGCCAGGCCGCGAACAAGCTGGTGTTCTCCGGCGACGGAAGCGCCCTGGCGAGCAGCCAGACGAAGTCGGTGAGGATGGTGCTTGGAGCGCAGAACTTGCTGGAGCTGCGAGGGGACGACCACAAGAGAGTCAGGGGAGCCATGGTTTCGTTCTTGAAGGCAGAGTCGCTCAAGCAGTATGTGGGGAAGATGGACAAGGAGGTCAGGTTGCACATTCAGACTCATTGGGAAGGGAAGCACGAGGTTCAGGTACAACACAGATTAATTATCACGACTGTCGATTTTCCAATCCGTTCTAACGCGGAAACTGTGTTCTGTGTAATCGTCGATCGAATAGGTTCTGCCGTTGATGAAGGTGCTGACATTCGACATAATCTGCACCATTCTTTTTGGGGTGGAAAGAGGAAGCAGCAGGAGGGCAAAGCTGGTGCAGTACTTCCAGGACATGATACAGGGGATTTGGGCCGTCCCAATCAATCTGCCCTTCACCCGTTACAACCGCAGCATCAGCTCCAGCTCCAAAGTTGATGATATAGTGAAGGACCTCATCGCAGAGAAAAGAGCCCAACTCCAGCGCGACGCCGGCGCTCCACGGGACCTCATCACCTCGTTGGTAGACATGAACAACAGTCAGGCCATCAGCGACGCCGAGATCATCGACAACATCAAGCTGGTCATGACGGCCGGCCACGACACTTCCTCTGTGGTCATCACCCTCGTTATATGCCTTCTGTCCAACCAACCCTCTGTCTGCGCAGCTGTTGTAAAAGGTACTTTTCTCAAGACAAGAGATGTGTGTATTTCTGCTCAGGAAAAGGCCTTTGCTTTGATTTGATGGAGCTATTGATTGCTGTTAAGAAACAAATCACTTGATACCAATAACTCGAGTTAGTTGGAAAATGAGGTTTTAAGCTTTTTATATCTTACAACTGCAGAGCAGGAAGATATAGCCAAGAGCAAGAGTGAAGGAGAAACCCTAACGTGGGAGGATCTTGGGAAAATGAAGTACACATGGAGGGTAGCACAAGAGACCATGAGGATGTTCCCTCCAATTTTCGGCGGCTTCAGGAATGCTCTAAAAGACATCGAGTTTGAAGGCTACCTCATCCCCAAAGGATGGCAGGTCATTAGCTTGCTACTGCACCATCATCTTCAGATTCATCAGGGTTCATCCATTTGTTCTGTGTCTGCGCATGGTTTTTTACTCGGTTTGCCATCTGTTTGTTGTTTCAGGTATTCTGGGCTACGGGATTGACTCACATGGACCAGACAATATTCCCAGAACCGGAGAGATTCGACCCGACGAGATTCGAGAACACGGCCTCAGTCCCACCATACTGCTACATACCATTTGGAGGAGGTGCTCGGATATGTCCAGGATATGAGTTTGCCAAGGTTGAAATCCTGGTCGCTATCCATTACATTGTCACTCATTTTACCTGGAAGATGTGTGCTGATAACCAGTTTAGCCGAGATCCAATGCCGGTTCCGACCAAGGGGCTGCCTATCAAAATCGAGCCCAGGAACAGAAACGTCAGTCTCTAACTTTGTTTTACCAGAACAGCAGAACTTGTTTTCCTTGCCAAGTTATGGAACTCATGCAGTACGCAAACTACTATAGTCTCAACTCAAACATCTGTCAGAATAGCAACCCGACTGTTTGTATCAGTTAGCAAAAAGATAGTTTCAAAATACAACGAGACAGAACTACTTCTCTAATTTGAAACAAACCAACGACTTCAAAGAAAAGGAACTAGATTACGTTACAGCAACAATTTGAGAGGAAGTAGTTCACAACAGTACTGCTGACAAACTACCAGTACCAACTAGATAACAAGAAGATAAATAAAAGTTATAACTACTTTCTAACTTCTCTTTACACGACGTCCAACGATCTCCATATTTACAAATGACATCAACCAATTTAGCTTTTGTGCTCTTTACACTGGGTATCTTCTTCCTGTTTGTTGTAACTTTATCATTCCATTTTGCACTAATAGTACTAGGCAGTCTGCATTTGCTGGTCTTACTACTACAAGGACAGACAAACAATAAAAGTCTACTCTGGCATTGGCCGTGTCACAACTTCCATAGGAAGAGAGGGATTGGTTACTGGCAATTAGCAATCTTGCGGCCTGAAGTAGTCTGGTGGAAGGGTTGGACACATTTAGTTCATGTGGGGATAAGGAGCCATGGTATTGTATCCTGGTAATTCCATTCGGTACGTCCCCTTGATCTGGCAAAAGGGCAGCTTCACATCATCCCCATCATTGCACCACGATGGCAAACGACTAGCATTGTTCTCAAAGAAATTGAGAGAGTAAGCATCTTTGATCTGCATCATTAAAACAGTTCAAAAATCTTTCACCGCTGAAATTCCCAGAAGAACGCAAATAACTCTTCGGCTTCACTGTGCTTTATATATAGATCGATGCTAAGGAATACCATGATTCAAGTCCAAGAAATGGATGAAAGTGAAACTAACCGTGAACTCAGTGACTTGTATTTGGTTGGCGTACGGATTAAAGAATCCTGCTTCTTTATACATTTCAAGAATGAAAGCCACACAAGATGTACACTTCCCATCGGAGTATAACCAGTCATCTTGTTCTGGAATGGTTAACAAATCCGCAAAGGATGAACCACGCTTTTTGGATTCTACGATAATCGCTGGCAAATCAAGCCCCTGCATTTGATCATTCACATATAGGTCATATTTCTGAAGTACGACACAATATAAAAAGTTGCACTATTCAGATACCCTTGTGATTAAAAGACAAGAACAGGAAGCTCAGTCCAAACAAGGAAAGAGGGAACTGACACTCTAACATGGCCAGAAAAACGAGCAGGACAAGCTAATAGAGTTGATACCTCAGTTCCAAGTCGCTTGTTCAAGGCTTCATTCCACATGTTTGTTGCATATGCAGGTTGCATCTGACTCCAAATTGTCATAACAGAAGCTACCTGTCAAAGTGACCGACCCAATAGCTCATGAAAAATCAACAGTAAACATTTACCTCTGCTATTTCCTAAAGCAAAGTTGTGCAATATAATGAGATCAGCTTGTCATACCTATGTTAAATTTAATATTACACAATAAGACTAAACAAAGAGGATATAAGAAAAGGGTAAAATGCCGCGAAGAAGAATCGAGATAAGTTAAGGAAAAGGAACTATGGAACCAAACTGTTTCTAGATGATAAGGGTGAGTATTCAAGCAAATGAGAGATAAATCAGAAACCAATTTTAGGCTTGAAGTCTTTTCTTACCAGATGAGCATCAAGTGGAGGTGGAAAGTTGTCACTGATAGTGTCTATCCAGCTAAATACCAAGTTATGGTATCCATAAGGTTGGCCATTCATGCTTAATGCATACTCCCATGCAGCTGTCTCATTGAACTTGGCTCGGACTTCAGGGCGCAAAGGAAGCAAAGCAATATGGGGATTAGAGTCATCTCCATTCAGTTCAAACTCCCACCATTCATCCTCACGACATAATGGCAACAACATCTTCTCCCTACCAACAAAAGGCAACACACCATCCACACAGTAATCAAGCATACTCACACCAAACCAAATAAAACGGTCTCCAACTTTTGCTATATGCCAGGTCTCATGGCCAATGAAATATTTTTCGAAACACCACCAGAATGAGGATTTGAAGAAGTACTATGAGGCTTGCAGTAAGAGTTACAGAACTTCTTCTATCACTAGCAAGTTAAAAATGCTCTGGTGGAGGGATTACTCAACTAGTTCAGAAGTATGAGAGTTTTGAAAGGGGGAAAAGAGATATTAGCACTAAAGGTATCATTAAATTGGAAACTGAAATCATACCATCGAATAGTCTAAGTGTAACTTCCATCAAAACAAAAATTGAGTACACGAGATGCAACAATTGTTACCTCCTCATTTTCATGTCCTGATTCACTGACCCATAATTTTCCTTCAGAATCCCTTAAGCAAACAGCAGAATGTCCAGCATAAGCTCCACTGACCCACTTCTCCAAAGTTTCAAAACCACCCCATCTCTCACGAATTTTTGATATTGCAAGAAAGTCTCCAGAGTGAATCTCATCAACAGTGATGTTGGTGACCCAGGGTTGAGGACGAACCTCAAAGTTTGCACTTTTTCAGGAAAGAAAGATTAGCATTCTCACCCCATTTAGTATTTGTGAATAAGGGGAAGACATCCCATAGAGCAGTGAGGGTGCCCAACATCCCTGCTTCCGCGAGAAAAATTGAGACCACCTTGTTTTTCACATGTTCATTATAGGTAACGATGAAGAAGACGACGTTTAATATGATTTGAAACAAAGTAGTACATTTGGTACCATAACCCCATCCCTCTTCTTCAACTTCAAACTCTTTCAAGACAAATGTGTGGAACTTACATATTCATACTCAGCTCTTCCTTCCCACTCGTCGAATTCCAGAGTATGCTCCCGGGAAATAAAGTAGTAATCCCAAGTTACGCGATATGGAGTTGCAAAGAGATAAAGATCCATGCATGTCCAGCTATGAGCTTCACTGATCTGGATAGTTCATTCAACCAAATAACAAACTCAAAAAGACTTCACATTTCATTGTTTTGCAATACAGCATCCAAAAAATTAGAAAGCAGGGATGGAATGGCAAAAAAGAACCCCTGGAACCAATCCTCCTCTTAACATAACAAACAATCAAGTGTCAGGCAGCCGTGCCAATCATCCAAGGAACACAACATGCAACAAAGAGAACAAACATCAAAGAAACCTGCAAGTAGACTAAACTAGAAGAGCAAATACAAGTAGTAAACTCATTTCCTGTGTAAGGTCAAACAACCAATGCTCCCGAGATTCACCAAACCTAATAGAAATAAGAACGAACACAAAGAATCCTAATCAAGAGCTCGAAGTAACATAAACCCCCTGTTACTAAATTGCCATAATTTCAGCGAAATCATCCAAGACAAGCAGAAGAACTCTGCAAAGTAAGAGTGACTTCATGTCATTGCGATCTGGGCACATAAACACTGCAGAAGCTTCATGCAATCCAGATTATCTAGGCTAAACTAATTAGCAATGAAATGGAAGTCACCTAAAGAGCTAAACAGTCAATCCCTAAGCAATTACTTCTGCGTCTATCTAGTACACTCGGAGCCCAGAGGTTTAATGAAACATTAGAATCCGGAACAAGCAAATGATTCAAAGAACCATACTCAAAGGACAAGTTTCGGAGCAGAAGAATCACCTAAAGGTGAAGGGTACCGCCGCCAAATTGGCTCCCAGTCTTATTGTGGAACTCCATCCAAGCCTCGTTCTTGTAAAAGCAGGCGCCTTTCCACACCGCTGCGTTGTCCGGAGAAGAGGCGGCGCCCACAAAAGTTAGGAGAAGATCCACCGCACCATTCAGATAATCAAGGACCGGCCAGGAAACTTCCTTGGGTAACAGCGGCAGCACGTCCCGTGGGCGAAACAGGGTTTTTATAGCTTGAGTGGCGCAAACGAGGAACAAGAAAAAGGGAACAACGAAGATTGAAATCGAGGAGGAGGGCTTCATCACGAGGAATGGTTCCTTGGCTGAGGACGAGAAGTGGGTTTTCCTCGAAGCAAGAGTCCTGTAATAAGGAACAAACTAATTTAACTTCTTCTACCCTTTTCCCCTGTTGTCGTTTACTGATATGGGTTGTCCTTCCTTTTCAATCACCATACAAGAACAAGAGTTGAGCTTTCACCATATCTGGGTGCTCAGCGAATGATCCGGATCGGTAATGGTTCTTCTTGGAGCGGGTGATTGATTTTGGAATTGTAGGAGCTTCATCATGGCCGTGTTTGGTGATTCATTTGGTTTGGTATAAGCCACGTAATTGGAATCAAATCATTCCAAATTATTTGGATCTCGATATCATATAAGGAGAAAGATTCTTTAAAAAATCCGTATCTCCTCTTTCGCTTACGGTTATGTGGCGTCCTAACCAACCCACTGCGTTGTTGACCCATTTAGGGGCAACATATGACATTGAGTTTATGTGCTACACCCAATTAGGGATGGCAACAAAACTCGAACCCACGGGTACCCACCCGACCCAACCCGGTCAACGCGGGTAAAACCCGTGTTGACGGGTTTTGGGCCGGGTTTGGGTTTAAACCCGCTACACTATTCATCGGGTCGGGTTGGGTTTAGGTTTAGGTAAACCCGCCCCATGGGTACCCGCTCATACACATATAATTACCTTCCCGGTATATTTATTATTCTAAATAATATATCTTCCTTAAACAACTAATATTCTTTATGTTTGTGGAGACATGTATAATTTGTTCTTTCTAATTGTTTAGAATGAAGTTGATATTATGAAGTGGAGAGTGAAGAAACTTAGGTCCTGTTCACTTCCCATTCCGTTTTCTGTCATTTTGGCAACTGAAAACGAAATCTGGAGAAATGGAAGCTGCCATTTTGGCAACTGAAAACCTTATACTGAAAACCTGTTTAGCTGGGATTTTTTGTGAAACTGGAAATTGTAATCTGAAAATGAAAACCTGTTTAGTTGGTTACTAGACCTGAAAATGAGAATCTGTCAAATTTCCTGATACTAGTACATACTTCAATATCAAATAAGTCGAAGTACAATCACAAATGTCAAAGGAGTCCAGCTTGAAAGTCATCCCACAACTTGTCCGCTATTCCATCACGTCGAATTTCCATTTGTCGTGTCCGGCTTGAACTCATACTGTACTCTTCTCTTTCCAGCCCTCCTTGCACTCCATTAACGCCATCCTCCATATAATAATTTTGATTATCTTCAATTAGGATATCTTCACAAGAGTGAATCCTAATGAAGTTATGCAGAGCACATGTAGCCATAACAATTTGTGCTTGTTTCTTTAATGAAAAAGAAGGCATATGTTTCAGAATTGGGAACCTGGCCTTCAAAACTCCGAAGCAACGTTCAATGACATTGCGTAGGGATGAGTGATAATAGTTGAATAATTGCTTACGAGTTTTGGGTCCACCACCTCGATTGATTTCTTGAAAACGAGTAGGCTCCTTTGTTCGATATGGTGCTAGGAACCCAGGCATGTTCGCAAATCCGGAGTCAACAACATAATACTTACCTACATTGTATATAGATAGTCAATTAGTATATAATAAAATGAGATTTATTTATATACAAACAATAATAAGTACCTCGTGGTGGCATCGGAAACTTGTTATCTGGATTTGAAACTGTTTCACTAAGAATTCTAGCATCATTTGTCGTGCCTTCCCATCCAGCCACCACAAAGGTAAAAAGCATATCGAAGGAGCATACACACACCACATTTTGAGTTGTTGTCATCTTTCGTCCTCGATATGGAATTTGTTCAGCAGTAGGAACACAAGCATCAATATGCACTCCGTCTATAGCTCCAATGCAATCCTATGTAAACACAAAAGTGAACATGATCAACAGAAGTTGTAAATGTTGTAACAGTAACTATGGAGTAAGTATTCCTTTACCTTGAAATATGGATCATGTCTAGAACCAACAATTTTGTCAGGGACGTTATCCAAATTTGGGGGAACAATAATCTTGTTCGAAAGCTTGACCACAGCTTTCAATACTTTGTCAAAGTACTTTGAGATGGTGGCCGTTGAATGTTGAAACCTTTCGGCAACGTCTCTAAAATCATTAGTGTGACCTATAGTCTTCAGGAAGATGTCAACTTGTTCTTCAACTGTGACTCTCTTCGTGGCTTTTAACCCACCATTTTGTTTCAACTCCTCACAAAGAGCAAGAAACGTATCTTTGTCCATCCGAAATTGCTCATATATCCTTTTTGGATTACCATGAAGAAGCTCTTTAACCCAAGCATGCCCAGTTTTGTCTGAGGTTCTGCATGGCACTTTTGACACATTGGATCTCTCTGTCTCCAACAACCACAAATGCAACAAGAAGTTCTGCAAATCATCATCGGAATCTGTATCGGAATCAGAAGCCATTTGTCTGCATTGCACAATAAGAACATACAATCAAACTTTATTGAAATTGTGCTTACACCATAATAAGATAAACGTTCAACTAAAACATACAACCACAATCACACAAATATTCAACTCAACAACATTGTTCAACTAAAAATACAACCACAAACATTCAAACACAGACAATCAAACAAAAACACTCAATGTCGGCGTCGTACAATCACACCAAACCCTGCAGCCATTCCTTCTTTCTCTTCTCTGTCATGCGCAGAAAGAGACCACGCTTCAGTGGATTATCATGAAGAACATCAATAGCCTTGACAAACACACTACCATCCACCTCCATCTCATCTAAAACCTTCATACACTCTGTCATAATATCTAGGTCCTTGTCCTGCGAAGATACTTCATTCATTGGGCCTTTCGCAGAAGATGCAGCAGTCTTGGCATCATGCCTATCATTCTTCCTTTTAGCCTCCTCCGCCATGCTAATTATTGCCATCTCTACCGCAGTTGAATAGGTGGATTTGTTTGCTTTCCTCTTCTTGCCTTTGACCTTTGCTTTGCCCTTTGCTTCCTTGGCATGCTCTATAGCATCACCGGCAACAACAAAACCTTCCTCATTGTCCTCTCTGCTTTGTCCACCACTGCTATCTGAGACTTCTTGAGTGGAAACAAAAGCATTGGTACCGGAAGCAGTAGTGTCACCAAATAGGATGCAAAGGTTGTTGTATTCTGGACAACCATTCTTCCTAAAGCCGGTAATACCTTTTATAGCCTACACATGAACGTTCTAATCAATTCTAAGTTCAAAATTGAAACATATATTTAATGAAATTGAACAAAATATTCAATTACCTGCTTCGACCATTTCTCCCAACGATCATCAGAAGCGGCCACCTTTCCCGTTGCAGCAATGAAACTAACTCCCGTCTCACTAATCATGCCCTTGAAATCCCTATGCCTTCTTCTAAGTAGATTAAATTTGTTCTTCAATTGCTCCTCGGTATAGTCCTTGTTAAACTTACTCTTTAAACCATTTTTTATATTGAACCATCCTAATTTTGTGAATGTAGTAGTAATCTTGCTACCCTTCTTCACTTCCTCGACCATCAATTCAATCATATAATTCTTAACATGTTCGGGCCATACATCTTTTCCCTCTACCACCACACAATTATTATCATTGACAGCTTCTGTATTCTCCATGGGTCAAACTATAGAACAAACATGGCAATAAACAAACAATCAACATGACAATCAGCAAACAATCAACATGACAATCAACAAACAAACAACTTCGGTATCTAATAATGAGCAAACTACAAACCTACTTCCTAAAGTTCAAAAATTTCCTCATAAAGAGCAGAACCCATGGCGTTCGAAGGTTTCAACAGATCAAGTCAAAACCACTGATATAATCAATTCCAAAGGAGAAAAAAAAACTCAGATCTGGAATATCCCATGCCATTAGAGACGTGAAAACGAAGATCACAGAGCAACGAAACGAAAGCAAAAAGGATTGGCGGTTTCGAGATCGGCTGCGAAACAGAGAGAGCCAAAAATGGCGGTGGAATGGAAATCAGGGAGAAGAAAATGAGAGGGAGAAACGGGATAGATACCTTGCGTCGTCGGCGTCGTCGGAAGCTCTTAACCAGAAGAAGAGGCGTCGTCGGCGTCGGGAGAAGAAGAGGCGTGGCATGGCGGCGGCGTGGCGGTGGCGGCGGGAGAAGAAGAGGCATCGTCGGAAGTTTCTGGTCGCTGCCGTCGTCGCGAGAAGAAGAGGTGTGGAGGCGGCGCAGCAGCTGCAGCGTCTTGTCTTCGTTCAGCCGTCTTCGTTCAGAGGTGGTGAGGGCAGGGTCGAGTAGGGTTACGCTTGGAGGAGGCCAGGGGCTGGATAATGAGTCTTCAAACCAAAAACAACAAAAAAAAAATAGATAAAATGAGGTTGCTAGGTCTCGAAGAGCAGATCTCATTAAAAAATTTCGGAGAAAACGAGATGAAACCCGTCCCCTTGCTTTTCAGGAAACCATTTGTTTTGTTTTCGTCAGCTGCCTCTTTTTCTTGTCAAATGGTTGCCACAAACGAAAACGAAAACCAAAGTGAACACGTTTTCTCCCTTTGTTTTTAAATTTTCTGTTTTGACAACAAAAAACAGAAAACGAAATTGAAAGTGAACAGGACCTTAGTTGACGAGGAAGAAGCTTTCAATTAATCTTATTGTTTATAGATGTTTATCTTTAATTTTGAACAATTTGTATTGATCATTTGCGGTTGGCTTGTAATTTGTATGAGAAAATTGATGATAAACTTTTATTTTGAAAGAAACTTGTTATTGTAAATTTTTTACCACAAAAACCCACGGGTACCCATGAACCCGCGGATACCCAGCGGGTTGGGTTGGGTTTGAGTTTTTCAAACCCAACGGGTTTTACCCCGGGTTTTTGGCGAATAAACCCATGGGTTTGGGTTTGGGTTTGACAAAACCCGCCCCGCCCCAACCCGACCCATTGCCATCCCTACACCCAATTGACTTGACACCTTGTCATGGCATGCTTTATTGCTTTTTGTTGTAAACTGTTAAGAAACGGTTAAGGGATCCAATCCAACTTCTTCAAGCAAGATACAAGCCAAGATCTCACGCCACCTTCCCTTTATATAAGGAGAAGGAAAAATCCATCCATGTCACAAAGCTGACCTCGACAAGAAAGGTTGCATGGGAGATCTCTTGTAATGAGAAATATTAGGGCGCATATACTAACTTAACCTTATATGAATGTTTTCTATCGGTGATCTTTATGTTGGAGGAATTGACCACAATTAATGTTGATTTGTAAAGGGAAGAGTATGTTTGTTAGTTTTAGAAATTATAGAGGGAACAAGCATGTGAACTACGTGTATCATAATTCATAAAACAGACCAGCAAACTCAGACCATAAACATAACAAACCACACCATGAAAAAACATAAAGCAAACCATAAAACTCACAAAGCATACAAGAAACTCACCATACTACAAAATTCACAAGAATAACAGAACACTCAAAGCTGATTACAAGTTTCTTGAAGCATGTCAGAAAACTCATGAAACTGATCACAAGTATCATGCATGAAGCATATTATAAAACTCCGACCAGACCATAAACATGACAAACCACACCACAAAACTCATAAAATAAACCACAAACCTCATAAAACATATAAGATAATGTAGAAAGCACACCGCAAATAGTACAAAGCTCACCACGACAACAACTCATTAAGTAGACAAAAAAACTCATAGTGGTGATCAAACGTTTTCGTACGCATACCATAAAACT